CGGAAGAGACTATGCAAATGACAGCGCGAGAAATGCTAATGAACACTTCATTTCCATTACCTCTGCTGACAAATTCCTGCAGTCTAGACATAGCCTTAAAGGGGCAGATTAAAGCACTCTGTTTGCTGTGTGTCAGTTCGGTTCACCTTACTAAAGTTGCACCCCCACATTCTGATCAGGCCCTCAGTGTTTTTTCACTCATCTTTCTCGTAACAATTTTCATCTTGACTCTACTATTTTTCTCTTGTTTTTTTCCAGAATATTAGGCTGAAGTGTTTGCAACCTTAAATAAAAGAATAAGATAATTGTATTTATACACTGCTTGTGTGGGGAGAGGTATTGTAATTGCAACTTAATTGAGTGGCTGGCAAGAAAAGTCAAATGAAAGTCACAAATGTTCATGCTAAATCTCATCATTTTCTCTCCCCTTCAACTCTCAAAACTATGTTTTCATTATGTGATTTTTGGTGAATATTACTTTTCTCTGGATTTCATTTTATTAAATTTTCAACTGCGTTAGTTTATGGACAGACAATACATTTAATTCTTTTCACAAATATGTAACTGAAATAAAAATGATGAAATACTAGAAGTTTCGCATGTTCATTAGCTCGGGAAACATGGGTTGTAACAACGTACATAATGTTTGGCTGCTTTGTAATCCTTATTCTTAGTTCCAACTAAAATAGAGTGAGTTTTCTATAGTGGTCACTCTGTTTTTTATTTAATGTTATTTTTCTTACCGTGTCTAGTCTCCATCTCCTGATTCCTCTTCGCCCCGTGGTGCTGAATCATCTAGTAGGCAACATCACCAAGATGTTTGTGGCACAGCAGAACCCTCCACTAATAAAGAGGTAGAGTGCAATCTTTTTAAGAGAGACAGTTCTGTTCCTCTTACTACTCATGAATTTTTATATCATCTTCTTCCTTCTCATAGATGGGGGGTGAGGACAAAAACTGGCAAAAGTTCGTTTTACGTGCTTCCTCCTTCTCTCTGAATGAAACCTTAATTTCACAACAGTATTTCGGTTGGCTTTTTTTTCTGCAGTAATATTTGTGTAACATCCTGAGGAGAGTTGATTTATTTAAGAGCAGCCAGTATCCCCTCTGAATTGCAGAAAAGGAGACAGCATTTTTCTTTTCCCACTCTTTGCAGAATGTCTTTCCACAAAGGAGGCTACATGTCTTAGGCCTTATCTACCCTAGTACTTGTATCAGCAAAATTTTTGACACTGTAAGCAACATTAGTTTTGCCAGTATAAGTGCTTGTGTGTGCAGCATTGTGTTGGCAGGAGATGCTTCTGTCGCTCACTGAGCTGTTTTTACTGTTGTCGAGGCTGTTCCCAACTCTGGCAATGTGAATGCAGAAGGTGGGGGCCTGCAAAAGACCTTAAATACCTTGCCTCTAAAGGCTTTGGCTTACAAAAAAAAGTCTCCAAGGTCACAGATTTCTTGCCCTTGGGAGGTAGCTGCCACCATCAAGTGTAAAAACAAAACCCGTTCTTCTGAAACTCAGGTAGAAGCACTTAAACTTCTTCCAGAGGAGAAACCTCCTCCCCCCACAAGCTCTTTTACCACCAGAGAGCATGAGAAAAACAGAATAAGGATGTTAAGTATTGACTAATTGAATAGTCGATCAGCTGGGGAGTGATCCCAGGTTCCACACAGTGCTGTCACTTTGAAATGCTGCGTGCAGCCTGACACCGGGCTTCCCACAGCATTTCAAAGCAGCAGCACTGCATGGAGCCTGGGGTCAGCAGGGGAGCCCCCAGCTGATCCCGGGCTCCATGCAGTGCTGCCGCTTTGAAATGCCACATGCAGCACTGGCCCCATTCTGCACACAGCGTTTCCAAGTGGCAGCACTGCGTGAAGCCCAGAGTCTGGCCCCAGGTTTCAAGCGACACTTCCGCTTTGAATACCCCCTCCTCATCCCTGCCCCTTGCTGCCTCTGTCTGATAGAGGCAGCAGGGGGGGGGGAGCAACTAGTCGACTAGCCTGTTGACTAGTCCTTCACATCCCTAAAACAGAAAACAAACTGCAATCTCTGATAGCTGACCTCTTAGTCTTAGGCATGCATACACAGACCCTTGGCTATTTCCCAGGGCTATTTTCCAGGGCAAATCATCACCTTAAAAGGGTGATTTTTATTAACAAAACTAAAAGATATACTTAATAAAACATACTAAGGGTACCTCTGCACAGCAACATTATTTTAAAATAACTAGCGTTATTTTGAAATAACTTAGTCTGCATCTACATAGCAGGCAGTAATTTCGAAATAATGACAAATTTGGTTTTTTTCCAAGCTGGAGGACTTCTTACTCTGACTTCTGTCACCCTCATTGTATGAGGAATAAGGGACGTCAGAAGGAGTGTGCTCTATTTTGAAATAAGTGCTGTGTAGACTCTCCCAATTTAGAAAAGCTATTTTGAAAGAAACTATGCAGTTGACGTAGCTCAATTTGCGTCGCTTACTTCGAGTTAAGACTTGCTGCGTAGATACACCCTTAGTTGCTAAGCGTGATAGAGTAACTGAGTAAAAACAAAGTAAAACACAGAGAAACATAATATCTCTGGGAACAGCTTAGATATAGTGAAGTGGGGGGAGAGACACATGGACTTAGCACAGAGAAGTTTAACCAAACAAAACAAAGAAAATAACCTGATCGCAACTAAATATACGTTTTTCCTATTTACTCATGATCCATACTTCAAGGTCCAGTCCATTTCCATGCCCAGTATTCCTTGTAGGCATGATAGTGCTGCCTGGATTAATTCATTTTATTTCCCCCAGCTCCTAGCTTAAAACTCACACAATGGAACAGCAGGCAGGTGTATCTATTCAATTTAAATTTCAATAATCTTTCCCATTGGCTTTCTTGGCTCCCTGTCAACACCACCTAAATACCCGATTTTAACCCTTTAGTCACCGAGTGCTAGGCAGCATTCCTCCTATCCATCATAATTATGTTGACAAGGGAGCTTTCCTGTTAGCATAACGTGGCCATATGTATTGCCTTACAGCACAACAGCTGTATTGGTACATCTGTGCCTCTACAAGCTTGTAAATGTAACATGGTCTTAGAATGATAGGTCTGCCAAAATAAATAAATATGAATACAGCACTCTTGCATATTAGCGTTGCTCCCTGATTTATCAGCAGGGATTTAGAATTAGTGATTAGCCGAAATTCAGGCAGTGATTTAATGACAAAATTGGAAATAGAATCCAGAGGTTCCTGACATTGGATCCTCAAAAGGGGAAAAAGCAAACAGGCCAGTGCCTCTATCTTGTGAAGACTTATGCACACGATTAACTTTGCAAACTCTGAATATTTCGCTTTGTGTTAATGGGACAACTGTGAAAATGTGGAAATTTTATCGTGTGCGTTTAGTCTTTGCATATTATGCCTGGGGAACTGTATGACCAGCACTTGTGTATATAAGCTTTGATCTATATTCCTCGTTGCTCATAGCCTTTGGTTTTCATTAAAGTACAGATTTCATAATTTCATGCAATCCACTATTGACTGCCAACAGTTATTAGCCATCATTAGTCATAGTCCAAGTATTAGTGAAATAAAGCCCATTTTAGCATTTGATTTCATACAGTAACAGTGGTAATAAACCATATTTCATAGTAGAATATGTTGCAGGAATCATTTCTCACGATTTTTTTTTTAAATTAGCATTGTCGTCTTCTGCACATCCCTTTAAAAATAACAAAAGTAATAGCAAACTTATTTGATTATGGGAAACGATTGTCTGAACAAAACCTTATTTTTAAAGAAATCTTATGTTTTTTTTGAACAAACAAAAAGATTAATCTAACAAACTTTACCAGGATTTAAAGGTAAATATTTCTGTGACATCTGTTGCCTTGTGTTAATTCTAGTGCCAAAAGATTCCTAAATAAAAGTACTAGAATTAAACGTCTTTTTTAAATTAAATATTATTGCAACTAATAAATGTTAGATGTTAAATTTGATATTCATGTACTCAGTCTTATCCCAAAAGGAAACTCTGCAGATCAATCAAATTCCCTAATGATGGACTACCATTAACTGATTAAAGTTAAAACTAAATAAGTAAAACTTCAGACAGACATTCCTTGAGTCTGTTTATTTAAAAAGTGTAAACTTTAAAATTGTACTTGTGTATAAGCTTGTTGTTTTCTGAAAAACAATTGGTCTGTTCTCTTTGCTGTCAGTGCAGTACACAATAACTTGACAGGTTGCATTCTGACAGGCAATCAGATCAGTTATCAAAATCAACATCAATCGTGGGTTTAATAAAAATAGTCATTGTAATAGGCAGGATGGTCTCAGGGCAGCCTCTACTGCTTTGACAGCAACTGTTTCCCAACACTTAATTTTCCTTATATGTATTTGGCAGCAGGAGGCCATTATTCAGTGATGACTTTGTCTTCTGTTGTCTTTATCTCATAGAAGAAGAAGAAAGCAAGTATTTCAAGGATGCTCTTATCTTCAAAGGGGTAGCCAAGTTAGTCTGTAATAGGAAAAACTTAAAAAACAACAAATAGTCTAGTAGCACTTTAAAGACTAACAAAACATGGAGATGGTATCATGAGCTTTCATGGGCGCGACCCACTTTGGGTCCACAAAAGCTCAAAGAGTAACAAGATGGTTTATTAAGTGATGAGCTTTCGTGGGCCAGACCCAAAGCTCATCACCTAATAAACCATCTTGTTAGTCTTTAAAGTGCTGCATAGTCCTGTCTTTTATTTCAGCAAGACCAGACTAACACGGCTACATCTCTATTACTAGACCGTTTGTTGTTTTTTAAGTTTTTCCTGATATCCTTATGTCATGCCCTGATGAACCTTTCTTCTGCCACCAGCAGTTTATTTTTATTACCAGCCCCATGTAATAAGTTGTACAATATGGTTACTCTGACAATCCATGAAAATGGAGAGGATTTACTGGGACATTTAGTCCTCCTTCTTGCCACTTAGGTACAACTGCCTGCCTGCCTGCCTGCCTGCGTGGTTGGTTTACATTTTTACAAACATCTAATACCTGGGAAGTTGCTCAGCATAAAAAGGGATAACAGATTTACTGTGTACTGTAATTGAACATTCAAAAGCACTTGCCCCTCATATGAGAGACTGGGCTTCATTCAGAACTCTCACTGATTTTCCACTAGCATAATTATGTTGAGAAATCAATGGAATGAATGCCTATCTGCTTCATTGTGGGATTAGGGTTAGGCACATCAACATTTTGTAATCCTTGGCTTCTCCAGAATTCTTTGTCACACACATATCTAATAGCGGCATATGTTGCAGTGCTCCATATTATCCTCTATACTTTGACATGCAAATTGCCTTTAACAAATTTCTTCATATAGGCTTATTTCTAAGAGTAACTAAATGATGAGTATTACTGCAGTGAGAGCCAGTTAGATGTATGTCGTCTTTCACTGGGCTTTTTTGTAGATGTTATAAATGGAAAGGTTCTGTTATTTCATCTAGTCAATCTCCCTGCAAATGCCAGCTTGATGATTTTCCATTAGTCAGTCCCATCTTTTACATGTCTTTAAGCTGAGACCCATCAGTTTCCCTGCCAGATACCAACAATCAAAGGATAAATCCAGAGCTCACAATTTTCAGTGTCTAAATAATATGTTTTTTATTTGTGATGTGGGTGTTTAATATAGCATAACTCTAATAATACCTTTTTTTTTTACAGGTTGAGTCTGTATATAAATTTTTGATCTGGAGCAGGAGTGTAGCATCTTTTTTAGTCAGGGGCCACTGACCCACAGAAAAATCAGTTGCATCCAGCTCCCAGGCTTTAGGTTCCCACCCCAGTCTAGAGTTATGATAATATTGCAAATCTTTTAAAAATATTCCTGGATTTTTTTAAATTTGGCATTCAAGTTCTTTGAAATATGATGTATTCCTGTTATTCCTATATGGATCAGTACTTCTGGCACTCAAAAATGTGCTGTCTAGTATCAGACTCAGGATGAAACTGCCTAATTGATAAAAATAATAATTATATAAACTATATTCCAGCATAATAATTCCTTAATTGCTAATATTTTGAGAACATTTCTTTTTTTTTCCCCTTTAATAAGTTGTCAGCTGTCCTTGACTAATTACTTGTTACTGTGTTTTCGGGTTTTATTGTTTTTTCTCTTTTTTGCATGGAAGGATTTTTAATGCATTTTTGAGCATGCTTTGTTCTGTTTGAAATCCTGTTTGTCTTAATTACAGTCCCGAAAAAGTTTGGCTTCATTCCCAACCTATGTTGAAGGTAAGCTATATAACATTCAATGTGTAACGCTGTACTTGTTATAACAGAATTATTTTGTACAAGTAAAAACACAAAACGTCTATGTACTGTGAAGGTAAATGTTAACTAGGGCTGGGTGAACTTGTTTAGATCAAATATGAACCAATTCAGAACTTGAACCAAACCCCAGAACTATTTTTCAGAAGTTAAAAAAGCTTAATTATTTTTTATTTTGTAATGTTTTGTTAGTGTTCCCAGCCCAGTTCCTAAGGAATGGGTGACAATATCACATAAGGCACTACTGGAATTTTCACTATCCATAGCAGCTTTCTTGGAATTCATGTTGCACTGGATGGTGCATGGACGCTGAACTACCCTTTTATGACAAAGAATGGAGGTCAGTCTGGATGATCATAATGGTCCCTTTTGGCTCTAAAATAAAATAAAAAACATCTGTGTTGAGCTTTATTGGCAGTGCTGTGGTGGTGGCAGGGACCATCCATTATCCATGTTCTGTGGGTAAATAATGTTTTTAACAATTATATATATTATGAGGTTCACCCATCACTAGAATTAACATAACCACATGCATACTTGTGTATTTTGTGTGTACACATAAATATTCAGCTGCATGCCCTAAAACATAAATAATATAAAGGAAATGATAACCTAGAACAAGCCGGGAAATTCTAAGATAATTTTGCTACCTAAAACTCTTGCAGTTGGTCTTTTGATTTTTATAAAGATGAGAGTTGAAGTCAATATCAGCTTTCTGTCTTGGGATTCTTTGGATTGTTTTCCATTGTGATGTATTTAAAAGCTGTACAATAGAAATACATTTTTTTCAGAATTTCAGAGAGATGATTCAGTCTTTGAGGTTGATACTTTAGGTCCCGAGAGTAGGTTTTTTTCATATTCATAAGAAAAATAAAATGTCACTATTTTAAATTTTATGACAATATAAAGTTAAGTTTACAAAAAATTAATTCTCATGAGAGTAATGCTGTGTATATTTTTAGTTACATTTGAATCCAGATATTTCTTTCTTGCACTCTGATAATGTAGTGTGTTATGTGAATTGCCTTCTAGACTATCATTAGAGCTTAAACCTTTAATGAAAAAATCCAGGTCCTTTTAGATGAAATATCCAAGGGAAGAATATTGCTTCCGTTGTAAAGTGATCAGCCTGAAAAAACAGTGTTCATATAGATATTATAGGGACCAGTGTTCCCTGTAAGCTAGGCTCTTCTGCAGCCATTCAGGAGAAATTCGGATGCTGCCCAGCTGATTAGCAGAACACCCCCAGCTAGATTTTTTTTGTTTCTAGTGGTGGTGCACATGCTTCAGTGCACAATACAAATTTATTCCACACATTTATGGAAATAATTAGAGGGAACATTAATAGTAACTCATCCTGTAAATGATTAAGTGCTTCTGTGCAGCATCATAAGCTTGCAGTGACACTAGAGGGAGTTGAGGTGTATTGGTAACTTGCAGGACCAAGTCAATGGGGTGTGTGTGTGTGTGTGTGTGTGTGTGTGTGTGTGTGTGTGTGTGTGTGTGTGTGTGTGTGTGTGTGTGTGTGTGTGTGTGTGTGTGTAAGTCCAAGCAGCATAAATCCCTTACTTTGCACATTTAACATCAGAGTCTATAGCAAAGAGAGTTTGTCTAAATTAAAATGATACCTACTAAAGAGAACAGTCCCCTGTATGACATTTGTGAGTAAGTCTGGCATAAATCTATACACTCTTCAATATGACGTGACAGCTTTTAACTCCACACTGGGGGGAAAAATCATGCTTATAAAATGCTCTGAGGAGATTTCTCTGTTCATTCCAACTATGGTCAGTATTTGAATAAGAGAGGTGCTAATGATTATTACTGACTTATGCCCCTAGTTTCCTTTTTATTTTAGACTCTAGCTAAATGATATGACTATCTGAGAGACACAAGAATATTGGAAGAACAGAGAGGAAAATGAAAATGCTTGGTCTTTTTTGTAAGAATTTAAATTAATTGAGTTTATTGTGGTTTAGTGTTAACTTTGCCTCATGGAGCAAACTATTGGGAGATGCAGGTTGGATTAGCAATTGTGATTTCTGCTGTAGAGATGTTGAAAGCACTTTTCTCAATGTTTTTTTAATGGGGGCCTTAACTGAAAGTGTTGGTTGTCCTGCCATCATGCTAAACCTAAGTAGGTCAGAGCAGCATTTATAGCCATCAGATGCAGGCTAAATAGTGTTTCTCTCCATGCTACATAATTTTGCTCAGCAATTTGTTTTCTATGTTATAGTTCCTGGACCCTGTGATCCTGAAGATTTAATTGATGGAATTATTTTTGCTGCCAATTACCTTGGCTCCACTCAGCTCCTTTCTGACAAAACTCCTTCCAAGAATGTGCGAATGATGCAGGCTCAGGAAGCTGTCAGCAGAATCAAGGTGAAGCATGTATCTTGCTGTTCATGTGATTAGATTTTTTTTTTAAACTTCAGATATGGGTGTTGCATACTTACATCTGGTATTCCTCCCTTATTCTTATATACTGTTTAAAAGGTTAGGTGCCTTTTGTATACTTTTTTTCTGAAAGATATTTCACCTGTTTAGTCTGATCTGGGGACTGGAGTGGGAAGGAGGATACACTGGATAATTTGGTTTAATATGCCTTTCATATTCTAGTCATCAAAGCTTATGGGAAACAAAGGGTGGTGTAAGTTCTATCTTAGATGTGAGGAAATAGGTTTAGAGGGCATTGTGTATATTTTGTATATTTCTTTTGCTTGTGCTGTAATTCGGCATTCTGTGAAAGTAATACCACGTTAACAGCCATGCCTGTTTTCTCACCACTTCACAGGTAGGCAGTCACAGCAGTCAGAATCCTGTAAGAGATCATTCATGATGTGAATGGGTAACCGGTTACATGGTAAGCATCACCCATACTGGCTGATGCTTACGGCGTAACCGATTTAACTGGCATCCCTACATACATCCTTGGACACTAAACCTTGGACATTCAGAACCTATAGTGAAAGAATAAATATTGGCCAGGTCACCTGGCTTGCTTTCTAATTTTAAACTGAAGATGCTATAAATTCTTTAATATCCACTTAGCCCCCAGAGAGGAACAGCTGACTGTCTCATTCTGAGGAAGGTTGTTCTGAAAGTGCAGGACCTTCCTACTACTAGTCTAAATTGTCAGTACTCTGGTATATGAGAGAGAAAGAGAGAGAGGGAAGGAGGGAGGGGAGTGTGTCTGTGGGGCTGTGCTTTGTTCCTTAAATTCTTTTCTGAAAGGATGCTGTAGTTTTTCCTCTGCTGCGCAGTGGTATTTCATATTGCTTAGAGTAATTCAGCTGCCAAATATCTGATCTGAAAATAAATTCTCATCCATTCAATATAAAAAATGTTCACAGGTCACTGGTATCCAAAATAATGAACACCCTATACAGGCTGTGTTTGATAACATTGTAAATGGGATGGGTAGCACCATCTGTTATTACGGTTGCCCAACACCTCCCATAATAAGACTCTGTTTTTAGTTGCTTCTGAGTTTGCCAAGATTTACTCGCTTGGACTGAAACTATCCATACTAGATGTGTAAATCACAATGATTTTTTTTCCTGGAAAACTTCTTCGGCCAAAATGATTTGATCATTTCTTTGCGAATGAAGGTGGGGGGATATGTTGTTGTGCCCATGTTAAAACATTCTGGTGACTAACTTTGAAGTGCTTGAGCATCCCTGCTTGCGCTTAAGAGTGAAGACTTAAAAGGTAGCAGAATGGTGGCCTTTCTCTCCAGTATGTGCCTTTTGCCATCTCTATGACAGTCCTTCCCAATAAGTTCAGGGGGTAGCCGAGTTAATCTGTAAAAGAAAAAACTTAAACAACAAATAGATTAGGTGCACCTTAAAGTCTTGTCTAAACATGTAGATGGTGGTATGAGCTTTCGTGGGCGCAACCCACTTTTTCAGATGACAGCAGTTTTAAGCCTTACAAAAGTCAGATTCACACATGCTCAGTAGAGGCATTGATTTTTAACAGCTACAATTTCAGAAAATTTGGTCTAATTGCACATGCTTCACCTTCTCACAGTTCCTATTACTGACCAGACTCCACAGAGTGTGCCCTAGCCTAGAGCTATATAGTTGAAATCAGATTTTCCCTATGATGGTTGCTCCAGACCAGGATTGGGCTAAAAACTGGCACTAAGAGCAGGGTGCCTGTCTCTCCTATTCGCTCAAAGACCTGGGCCTGGAGAAGGAACACACATCGTTTAAATGCGTAGTGGCTAGCTGAACAAGGAGTCTGGAACAAAGAACCAGGGAGGGTTGAATCTGGGAGAAGGAGCTGGTGCAGGTGGGGGAAGGCAGAAACTAGATGAGGTGAGAGCTGTTGGAGAGACTTGGGTGGGAAGTCAGTAAAGTGGGAAGAAGAGAGACAGATCAGATGAAGAGCCAGGCACTGCGACTGGCTAGTTAATCAGGTGGGAACAAGCAGTTGGGAAAGGAGTGTGGAAACTGGGATTGATTGGGCAAATAGCTTTGAAGAGGGTGGGGAAGGGAAGGGACTTGAAATCAGGAGTGAGAATGGAACTCAATCAATGAGCTCAGGGGGAAGATTGGGACTGGCTGAAAAGTAAAACTGGGATGGCAGGAGAAGCCTGAGGAGTGGAGACTGGGACTGCATAGACAAAGAGGTTGGGAGTGGGACAGAGCCAGTAGGGTTACCAGATAGACCCCGCTAAAAAAAACGGACATACTTGAT